CGCATTGTAGGGCCAGCCGTTCCTGTAAATCCATTGCCAAAAGTGAGTCTTTTTAGGCTATTATCATATACTGTGCTGTAGTGTCAATAATATGATCGACATATGGCATAATGGTATGGCTTACCCAATACCAGCACCGGAAGCAAACATTTATGAAAAATTAAAATTCTTTACACAGAAATGTCATTTCAAATCTCAAATGATTTCATTTTCGGTCAAAACATAATAATTAGTTTTGAAGTATTTGTATATTTTTAGATAAGTGTTAAATCAATCATTTAATGCAATTGAATAAATGACACAAACATTAAGTTTTCGTTTACAAACTTTTAGTGTTCAAACATTATCATAAATTATTAATATGTATTTTTATCAATAAAATAAATGAAATATTTGAAATAATTTATTTTTGACATTTGTATTTATACTAATATATTAAATATAAATTAAAGTTATATTAAATATTTATCTCAAAACTAAACGAAATTTTTGTTTAAATAAAGTTTAAAGTTTAAAGTATTGTTTAAATAAAGTTTAAACAAAATTTGTAAATTACTTTAAATAAAGTTTTAAATAAAAAATATTTTACATGCTATAATGTATACACATTAAAGCGTTAAATTTAATTTATATTTATCTTAAGTCAATTTGGGTTTATACAAATTGTAAAATCAAAAATGAAGTGTAACACAAGTTTATTATTGTTTTGTATAATTAATGTCTAAACAACTTCTCATTTGGTTTTGTCTGAAAAAACCGAAAGCATAACAATTTAGACGAAATTGTAAGACAAGGCTCACGACTGGAGTCGAGTGGCAAAAGATGTTCACCACAGCAGAGCATTCATAGAGAATAATGGAGGAGGAAAGGGAGAGTGGAGGACAGGCATAGGGATAGGGATAGGGATAGGGATGGCTGAGAGGCAGAGAGGGATAGATGTGCGCCACGCGACTGACGTCTCGCTCGACTCGCTATAAGAACTCATTTAGTATTTGATGCCATAAGACATCGTTTGCAAAGTTTTGGAGTTTTGCCTAATTTTAAAAACAAGACTCGAAAGACTATTTAAGAGATATATTTCCCACTCTTTTCACTCTCAAATGAGTCTAGTGTTCACTCATTTTTAATTTCATTTTCGCAACTATTCATTAAATCAGTTAACAAATTTATTTTTAATTCAAACTATATCTCGGTTTATGTAAAAATATAAAACTTTTTAAATAAAATAATTTATTTCTCGTGTGAAAAGACATATCATTTAATTGATTGCAATGGAAGACAAGACTTTCTTCTCAATCGTTAAATTTATACTCATTTTGTATAATTTATTGGTGACTATAGTGTGGTTTGTTTTATTATTTTCGGTGATTAACGCATTCATTGCTGGCAAACAGGAGATTGTCCTTTTTGAAGGAGGTATGCATTGTTTTATATAAAGTATTTTATAGTTTTATTTACATTCATTATTTCATTATTAAACTATATTATAATAAGTTACAGATACGTATTCTTACATTCAACATTTATTTTTTAATTTATAAAAATTAACTATACAAAAAAAATAATTATTCATTTTAATTAACTTTAAGTTAACTAAAAAATTAGATAAATTTTAACAGAATGTGTTTGAATATCTTATAATAATTTATTTATACCTATTATTTAACACTATATAAGTGTTATATATTATATATAACTATATATTTAGAAAAAATGTATAGAATGTATAGAATTTGTTTGATATAACTATTAGTTCATAACTGATTTGCTATTTTTGTTACATTTATGATTCATTGTACGGCACCGGCAGTCTCATTGGCACATCTATTCGCGTTGAATGTTATATTTATAGTAGTGGTGATCACCATCTCTATCATCGGTTTAATGGCTATACTTAAGGAATGGTACGACTTGTCGCTGGCTTACGCTATACTGGAGGCTGTATTTCTCATCGTTTTGATTGTACTCCTGGCGCTATTCGTGTCGGACATCCTATTCCTGTCCATTACAATAGCCATTCAGACGTCTATAACTATATTAGCGTTTGGTTTTGCGGTCGCCGTTAAGGAGAACAACAAAATCGACAGAATTAAGATTCAACACAACTTTGTCTAATTTTCATAAACATATCCACTATTATACTGACAATCAATTTGTTAACTCATATCACTATAATTCATGAACTAAATGATAATTTCAATTATTATAGTCAATCATCAATTATTAGTCAATCATCAATTATCAATTATTATCCCATGATTGGAATATTATTATAAAAATCAACACCATTATTTATTTATATACAAACTTATATTCTATTAATTTATATTTTTAAAATTATCGATACATACACCAGTGATAAAGGAACTAGAGTATACTTGTAGCGTTACTATTGTAAAAGAAAATTTATATTCTAACTTATAATGACAAAAATTTATTTGTGAACATAAAGCATCAACCCATATAGTATACATCACTTTTGTAACTATCATACTATTTAATATTTATTTAAAATGATACATTAAAATGATTTCTATACAACAATAATTGCAATTATTGTTTATAATTTGTTTGTACCTCTTAACCAATAAGTCTACCCCTTCGCTGACAGGCTTTCCTTAGAGAATAGCCCACATAAGCGCATTCCTGACCCCTTCCGCAATCACTGTCTGAACTGCACTCATCTGCCAGTCTTTTCCTTCGCCTGAGTTCCTCCAGATTATCGACGCCCTCGTCCTCATCCCCTTCCACTCGAGTCTCGAAGTCCTCGTCTTCCTGACTGTAACTCGTCTTTCAATAGTAAAGAGAGAAATCAATCAAAAGTTATCAATGAATTCAATTTGTTTGACACTCACTTGAGTCAAACATAACAACAATACAATTGACAATATAATAATGTATGTAAACTTCATTTTTCTTATTATCAATGGTTAGAAAATTGATATATTATTGTTATTTTTGATCTTGACTTTATATATGTTGTGAATATCCTGTCAAAGGATATACTATTGTATTGGTTTTATAGACAGATTTACTTATTTCCCGACAAATTTAATCCTAATTTTAAGAAATATAATATAATATTTACTTTTTTTTGTTGTCTCATAATTTTTCTACAATTACCTTTATTTCTGAGAATTAATTTTTAGTTTTATATTTAATTTTGATTTGACATTTAAATTTTGAATATAGAACTCAATTCATTATTAAAAAATTCAAATACAGTAACTAATGATTGACGAGTAAAAATACGGCAAATAATGAGTTCTTTTAACTGAATTTATTTGATTTGATATAATTATTCTAATGCAAGTAAATTTGAATAATTTTAGATATTTATTAAGCAAACTAATCAAAATACAGATTAAATGGATTTTTGAAATACAAATAAGAAAATAATGAGTTGAATATGAAATGTGTGACCAAGATCACTTGGTTGCTTTGTCGGTTGCGATGACCACCTTTGGCTGTTTATATCCAACTGAAATCATATCCAACAGTTTCATCATCAGAAAGCAACAGACGGCCAGCACTATGGAGGCGCTCAAGAAGATAACGGCCCCCACGTGTAGAGCGATCTCTCCCTTAAACTCTTTGGTCGTATTGAAGATCCAGTAATAGAGGAGCAAAACGACGACTGATATAATCCATACAAAGTTAATGATAGAACAGACGAGGAATAGGACACGATTTCCGCATTTGATGGCATAGAAGCCGACCGGCGCTGAGATGAGTTGCATGAGTGAGAGGACGCCGAAGATGACTAAATGGGTTTTGCCGACGTAGAAGACATGGGCACAGACACCAAGAATTACAGAATTGAGGGCCAGAATGAGCACCAAAAGACACAAATGGCTGATAATTCGCTTCAGAAGCTTAAGCCGTCTCTCATCTTTGAGCGGATCCTTGTCTAACATCTGATCGTCAGACTTGAGTGGATTCGAGTTGTGTGTCAGTCGGCTCTCAGGACTCTTAGGCGCTTCCAGTTCAGGATCTTTGAGTTTAGGATCTTTGAAACTGTGGTTGGATTTAGTTTCCATGAAATCCTTTTCAAAAGTAATCCAACAATCTTGTTATCTTTGAGCTAAAAATACACCTAAATTGTAGTCTTCCCCTGAGTTTAATACAAACTTATTTTGATAAATAACGGCCTTTTGATTGTAAAGACAAATCTTTTGTATAATATTATTTATCACGTTATAACAATTGTTTTTGGCTAAATCAGGATCTAATCAGAATCAGGACAGGTCTATGTTTGGACAGGTAACCCTATTTATTGATAACCCTATTTCCGATTTAATGAGTATATCCGATGTTAATGTAAAACAATGACTAATTGTTTTAATTGTTGACAACAATTTCTAACGGCTAAAGGTCTCACAAACACACTGTTACCAGTTGTAATTTACAATACAATTCAAAATATTCACATCAATAATTGTTCATATCTTAACGTATATTAATTCGTTGGTTAATATAAGAAAAGATTTGTGTTATAATAGTGTCTTCAGACAAACCACTTTTTATGGCGATAACTGCTATCCCTATAAATCAATTCCAAACTCCTGGTCCCACAAATCCTAACACAGAAACCCAATCCCATAATCATATTAATCCATACACTATTCAAATCCCAGAGCCGGTGGAACCCTTAAAATCTACTGACAGCTCAGACACTGTGCCAACCAATTGGTATCCCATAATCAATGGCAATCATAGTCCCAATGCATCGGCCGGTCATTCTATAGAGGGTTTAGAATCATACCTCCCGTCCACAGTCATTGGCATCATTTTGAGTCTATTAGTGGTGGTAATTGTGTTTATCTTAATATTTGTGTTCACAAGACCTAAACCAATGACGAGAAAACAGCAAAGAGTTGTCAGAAAGAAGAGCAAAATTACTATGAAGACAGAGCCCTCAGTGATTATGTCTGATATGCCGTCCACTGATGTGCAGAGTATTATCATCTCGACGTCAACTCTAAGTCCTGTTAACAGTAAAGTGTTTGAGTGGAAGCCAAAGGAAAAGATCAATGAGGAGGAGAAGACTCCTAAACAGCCAAACAAATGATAATAATTGCCACAAATAATCAAATAATTATTGTATAGAATAATAATAATAGATGTTTAATGAATATAAAATTTAAAATATTTATTTTAATAATAAATGTTTATTTAATTCTTAAATAGTTATTATTAAATCATAAATAAAATTATATAAATTAAAAAGGATTTGTACTGATGTATAAGATAAAGAAATTTTATTACAAATTGAAAATGTTATTGAGTTTTTAGAAATTCTGTTTTCAGTGTCTCTAAAATATCTGCTTTTATTACTTTACGATCACTTTGGGATTCATTTCCACTCTTTTTCTTTTCACCCGATTCTTCCTTCTCTTTGTCCACACTTTTTGACTCCAATTTCTTTTCAACGTCTTGTTTGTCGTCTTTTTCCTTAACGTCATCTTTCTTTTCATTCAAATTCTCCGCCGATTTCTCTCCATTTTTGTCTTCTTTCTCGTCATTTGACTTCAATTTATCCTTCTTTTCCTTAACATCTAAGATGACTCTCTCTTCATCTGATTTTGTTTTTGAATTTTTATTCATTTTCTTGTTTTTGGTCTTTGATTTTTGGGCACTCTTTGTGGTCTTCGAAACCTTTTTGTCATCACTTTTAATGTCTTGTTTGTCAACTTTATTCTCAGCCTTTGGTTTCATTTGCGGTTCATTTGAATTGGATTTACTTTTCACTTCTTCTTTACTCTCTTTCTTTTCTCCGATGTTTTCATCGCTTTCATCATCGCTCACACCCTCCACATCCTGATCGTCACTGTCATCCTCTGTCGCCTCCTTTTTATCCACATCTGTATCGTAAATAATATTTTTAATGAATTTTTTAATGCATTATTTTACTTACTTTTTGATTCATCTTTGGGCTTAACTTTATCACTAATTTTATCGCTGTTTTTGGACTCACTCTCAGGTATAGATTTGATCTCAACTTTTGTTTCATTTGTCTTATTATCAGTACTTTCTTTGATAACTTTTGTAGTTTTATGATCTCTATCTTCAGTGTTTCCATTGCCAGCAACAGTCAGTTTACAGTCAACCCATTTGTCTTCAAGCAGTGCAACGATTGTTTGTCTTTGACTGACATTCAAATCAAATATCTTTTGAAAGAATCCTTTAATCAAATCATTTGAATCTTTTCTCATTCGTTGATTCCATTCGTTATTCCTCTGTTGAGCCAAAAGTGTTTGCATATGATTGTAGTCAAAGGGATAACTATTTCACCGAAACATGAGTTAATGTCTTAAATAATAAATATGTTTAATATTTATGCCTTTTATTCCATATATAGAAGACAATCACACCATAAGACCAGACATCAGCAGTTCTCGGATCAAAGCCCTCTCCCGTCAAAGACTGGCAATAATTTAAACATTTATATCAATTTAATATAACAATTAAATTACCTCGGGTGAACAATAAGCCATTGAACCGATGGTTTTCATACTCTTTACAACACTATTGTCTTTAGGATTTATCCAAAGTCTTGATTGAGTGAAACCACTTATTTTCAGGCAATTGTCTTTAGTTAATAGAATTTGGTTTGCAATTGATTATTGAAATGAATTTCACCAAGAAAATAATTTTAAACCTAATTAAATGCTAAACCTGTCCGCAGATCTCTGTGAACAATACCATTGACGTGAAGGTAACACAACCCACTCATCAACTCTTGCGCCCATTTTCTGGTCTCATTTTCGTCCAAAGGATCTGTGGTTTTGTCGATGAAATCATTAAGGGATCCGTTTGGAGCCAAAGACATTAATATTAGAACTCGTTTTGAAGTCTCAAACACATCCAACGTATTGATAATACTGTCGTGTCTGCCATTCAATGTCCGCATAATTATCACATGTCTTGGAAGATATATCTTCAAGAACTTCTCCTCTTTGTTCTCTTTCTCAATGATTTTGATGACAATGTCTTCATCGTTGTGTTTACCTTTGAATATCGTCGAGAACTGGCCTTTCGATAACTCCTCCATTGATGTCTTATATCCCTTTTTAGTCAACTCTTCGGGAAATATCTCTTGTTTTTCTATTTCGTCGATCTTTTTGAGAGCGTCTTCTTGTTTTAGACGAAGCTTTTGAATCTTCTCTTCTTTCCTCTTCTTCTTTCTCTCCATTTCCTCCTCTGAAGGCATACTTTTTGGTGGTTTAAAGTTTCAGAAGTGCTCACAATTTCAATGTATTGTATGATCAAGGATAGACAGTAAATGTATTGTGTCTTATTTATGATAGGCATATACCGTTGACAAATACCGTTGGATTATTTCAACAATTAAGTCAATTAATAAATCTATCAATATTATAGATATAGTCAATTTAATCAATTAATAAAAATATGTATAACATAAAGATTCAATAATTATTTACTTATTACGGTATATATAAACACTGATTTTACTAAAATAATAATTAATAATTTAAGATAACAGTTAATAATTAAAAATATCATACAAATTGTTTTAATAAAAATATTTAAACAAAAATATTTAATTTCGCGTTAATTTATTAAAGAATATTTTTTAGATATAATAAGCAATTATAATTTATAAACTAAATAATCACAATTAAAAATACTAAAAGATACACTTTCAAACTAAAGTCAAGTACTGATCAATAATTTAATGTTTATTAACCAAAAATAGTCCGAGATTTAGGTTTAGCAGTTGTTGTTTGATTGGGGTTTTCTGATGGGATCTTGGTTAGTTTATCAGTCAATAGGAACCGATCGTCATAATCAACAGATGTTATGTCATAAGTGTTTGTAAATGGCTTTAATTCTGCTGAAGACATCTGAAGAGCCGATTTGGTCAACCCATCCGTACTCTCACATAATTTAAAGTATAGAGTGGGACCGTCGGGTACTATGGGATGGTTATCAATGGGACACAATAGCGCTGACATGTCTTTTCGTATTCTACAGAATCGATTCAATACAATGAAAATACAAAGAAAATGATTAAATTTAATAATAATCTTACTGTTCATATGAATGACTCAAATAATTAATTTCAATGAAATTGATGCCAATCTTCGTTCCCTTATCTCTATCTTTACTGAACTGTAAGCCCGGGAATCGATACCAACTGAAGAAACCACTCTTTATTGCAGTAATGGGTTCACTGAATGTCAGTAATAATGTGTGGACTCTTCCCGGAGTTATGAATGACATCGTCCTTATAAATGTCAGATTTGTATCCTTTTGTAAACCATGATCAGCACCTATATTGATAGCTACCTGTCCACTTGCACCGGCTTCCGAATCGGGAGTCACATGGATTGCAATCTGATAGTGAAATACTGTCTTATAATTAGTCATTTGTCACTCAAATAGTTTGTCTAAATTGAGTGAAATTATGATTTAATTACAACAAAATGGATGACTGCCCGCAGTATTCAAATAAAGTTTGTGTCCCTTTCCTCCAAAATAGTTTCGATTAATAGGTGTTCCCCTCCACTCTACCGGATACAGACCCATGAGTTGACACTTAGTTATGTTATTGGCATCGGCCTCACAGTTGCCACACCGGCCCTCAACAAATGTTGTATACGAATCGCACTCATAGCCCACCGGTTGACACAAACTGTTGGGTTTACCTATCGTTAAGTAATTTTATTTTTTTAAAACTATTTATGTATAATAACCCCAAATGAGTAAACAAACCCAAATAAGTGGCCAAATCATGAGACCTAATGTGAGCGCAGGTGATCTGAAAATGACCAGCCATTACATCGGCAATCATATCAGATTGTGGACAACCAGGCTGTTTATCAGATTACCGAACAATTAAGTTTTTAAATAAAAATACTTAAAATGATTTGGAAATACCTGTTCAAACCCTCCATTAGGGTAAAAGTCGACATCACCTATAGTTTCATTGAGTCCAAACCCATTAATAACAATATTAGCCATATCTGTATGAATGATATCAACTTCCGTGGCGTCAGTATAGGCCAGTCTTATATTAGTGCTGTTGGCTTGAAAATCCGGTCCTAATGTGTAAAATAAGTATTAAATTACATTAAATTAATAATTTTTCCGTAATAAAAGTCGCGGGGTAAAATAAAAATGCTAACCCGCGGGGTCGAGGCCTGTAATTCTGGACAATTGGGGATTAATAAGTCGTTTTCCTGCAAAACCTGAAACATGTGCCCCCAGACTGTGTCCAACCAAATAGAAGTTATCATTATTTATGACTTCCCGTCCGTACGTCAGCTCACAGATACGGTTCACGAAGAATGCAATCATAGCCCCAACCACTTGAGTGTTGGCCGCCGCCAGAAAATAGTCCAACTGTTTTGCACCTGTTTTGCAATTCATTCAATTGTAACAAACTTATCATAAGAGTTGTAAAATATATTTCAACAATAATCAGTTAGTGAATTGAATACCCTTTTCCCAATCAACCAAAACAACATTATACTGATCCTGTGGTGGTGTCGTGTTATACAAACTGTTTTTCATGTCCTTTATAAAGAAATTAATTGTTCATTATTTACATAATTAAGGTGATAGTTATATTGAGTAAGGTAAAGTTTGTTTACAATCATCCACTGTTCGACACCATCTTCATACCCGTGGATAATAAACACTGTCTGATGATTAGGATTAAATGTGGTGTCTTTGAATTTCTTGGGATTAAACTTATACTGAAATATAATCGAGTGATTGCGTGACTCGGATGTGTACAGGTAGAATTTGGGGGCAATTTGCGAGGGACTCATGGGTAGTATGGCAAAGTGCCCGATCTTTGCATCGTAAAAATTCATGGCTGAAAAGCACCCGATGTCGTCCCAACACTTTGTGCCCAAAGCACCTGTAGGTGACAATTAGTACCAGAATTACTGGAGAATATCAACACAAAGTCAAACACTTACTGTTGACTATAGGAATGAGTCCAATGATTTGTCGGGTTTTACCAAACAGACCGTCCGCTTTGGTTCCGGGTAATAGTGAACTCGCTTTTACATTGTAAGCACTGTGCGTCTCATTAATCTTTTTGGACTATTATTGATAAAACTTTTAATTTAAACGATGTTTGAATAGTTTGTTTGAATACTCACTTCAATCACTTCATACTCATTCATATGAGATATGAGACCTTTTTTCTTAGGACTCGCCATTTGATGTGTTTTATTATAGCGTTTAAACTATTGGTATAATTCATTATAAATAGAGACAGGAATCAGTGGAAAATAGTGTAGAAAATACACTGTTTTAAGGCGATTTGGGTTTAATATAGCCTGATTGAACAGACCTATGCACTAATCCTTGTACAGGTAGTCTAATAGTGTAAGGTTTTAATATGATGTACTAATCACTGATAATACCGAGATTAAGTTAGATCTGTTACACTAAACCCAAGTCATCTGAAAACAGTCTCTCTTCCACTCATTCCTATTTACAGGTAGTCTAATAGTGTAAGGTTTTAATATGATGTACTAATCACTGATAATACCGAGATTAAGTTAGATCTGTTACACTAAACCCAAGTCATCTGAAAACAGTCTCTCTTCCACTCATTCCTATAATTAACTGAATGATTGATTTTCACTTATATTTCTTACATTAAGGTACGGGTGCTCTGTTGTCAGTACCGCCTGAAGTGGTTTGTCCTCAAATTCTGTAGTAGATTCTGTGGCAACTTCTTTATCACTTCTTGTGCTGCCATTATCTCCTTCTGTGGTACCGGAATCCCCGTCTTCTTCATCACTATTAATACTTTGATTGAAATAAAGTAACAAAACTAATAACAATATGAGATATTTATACATAACTTAATTACTTATATTTTGTCAACTAATGTGTAGTGAGTCCCATATGGGAGCTAATTATCGTTATATTCAAACCTAACACAAAACAATTATACGAGAAAATGGTATTAGGAGATATTACGGTAGATCAATATTGCTACTTTAATTTATTGCTAAACTTTTTCTCTACATTTCTGTCTCAATATATAACCATTAATTTCAGAATATTCTGTAAATAAGCGAAATTTTCCCAACAAAACCCCATAAATCATTTGAATCGCGAGAATCTATAAGAATGCAATGAATTTGAATGTTAAACTTTGAGACACAAAAGACTGTAATAATTGCCCAATACTTCTGATATCTTGTATGAACTGATCCACAGAAATGAGCCCAAAATCCATTAAAGAGTCGGCGAATGAGTTCGGCTTTGAATTATTCAAAGTATTCATATCTCGACACAAAACCGATTACCGAAACCTCTGTTTCTCTCCTTTCGCTGTCTATAACTCATTACTGATGATCAGAATCGGCGCCAAAAACACCTCTGAATCCCAATTATCAACAGTTTTGCGGATGAAAGGCATGGCGAGCGACGAATTGATGCTTAAGGAGTGGCAGTCGCTCAGGAAGAAGATACTGATCGACAACCACGACATCCTAATGTTCAGTAACTTCTTGTACGCCGACACCAGTATTCAACTCAACGACGACTACAAGCGCTTACTGAAGGACTACTTCGATGTCAAGCCGAAGACAGTGACCTTCCGGGAGGTCCGGAAAACGGTGGACACAATCAATGGTGACTCCAAAGACAATACGGATGGCGTGATCGACGAAGTGATCGCCGCCAAAGACATCAGCGGCGAGAACCGCAACGTTAAGCTCATTGTGACGGACAGCCTATTCTTCAGGGGTTTCTGGTCCTCCAGTTTCGATGAGTTGGATAAACAGACGTTCAGTTTTGTCAAAAATGGTCAGTCGATCACCGCAGAGATCCAGATGATGGAACAGTTGGCTCACTACAGGTATATGTATAGCCAACAGCTGTCCGCCCATATCGTGTCCATACCGTACGTCACGAGCGACCTCCGGATGATTGTCATACTCCCCAAAGATGTCAAATCGGATGCCATTTATCTCATCGAATACCTCAATAAAGACATCTTCCAGTCGATTATGGATACACTGCAGACACAGCCCAAGACATTAGTAACGGTATCGCTGCCAAGGTTTGCTTTGGACGCCCAGAAGGTCTCCCTTCAGAAGACTATCAAACAAATGGGAGCCATCGATATCTTCGAGGAAAAGTTGGCCGACTTGACCGCCATTTGTGAGTCGAGGCCACACCTCACGAAACTGGTCCACAAGGCCTTCATTCTGGTGGACGAAAGGGGAGCCGTTTTCTCTGACAATAAAGTCAGCCGACAGTCAAAGATGAAGATAATGAAGGACTCGAAGACAGTGGCGTTTAGAGCTAACCGCCCATTTGTGTTCATCATAACAGATAAGATGTCAAAAGTGGCCCTTTTTATGGTATACTTTGGTGATCCTCGAGAAATGCTGGAAGTGGTTCAGGAGTCGGACTTAACTCCGGATGAGATATCGGAGTTCTTAAGTAAAATCCAGACCATTAGATAGTTTTATGACATTATTATATCATTTAAATTCTCTGTTTTATAAACTTTATATAACTTTTTATATAAAATATAACGTAAAAATTGTTATTAAAAATGACACTATATTCACACTACATCTGAAAATGTTATCAATTGCTAATCAGTTATATAATACTAAACGATTATACAATATGATATAATCTAAGTTTATACGATTACATAAATTGTAAATTTAAAGCAATTAACAGATATTCAATCGGAAAGTGTGTTCACAGATGCGTTTTCTCACAAACATTGAGTCATCAGATCCACGGGACAGGTATTACAGAAAAATCACACAATTGTCTTATTATCTATCAACTGATTAATTGCAAAACTATTATGAAATATCTATCATTAACTATATAAATAGGGGACACTTTCCTATTCTGTTATTCAGTCTAAACTTTGTATAACTTATTAATCAATTATTGAGAAAACTTTCTATTCTAACAAAAAAGTAAGTCATAAATTTGGATCAATTTATTGAATAAATTTGATTATTAACATACTTATATAATAAACGTGTCTTTATTGTTACTTAAGTTAACGCTAGTCAACACCAGATAACCGACAACACCACTACAGAACGTATCTGTACAGAAGTCCGCTCACGACAATCGTGCCGTTGAAGTGTGAGGAGAGCTCCAGAAGCGTTGAGCGCTGTTATGACTGTACGGAAGCCTCGTATTACTGTGGGCTCGGGAAGTGTAATGTGTTTGGCTGTGACTGTGACGGCGGCTGCAGGAAAGGCGACTCCAGTCTCTGGTGTTGGAACATAGCCTCCGGGTGTAAGGGAAAGCTATTCCGCGAGGAAGTCCTGTCCATCACTAACGAGAGCCGCAGCTCATCGGACGTCAAACAATTGGTGGCTGAATTGGACACCGATTCCGACGGAAAGGTCAACTATGATGAGGCGCACCGGTATTTAACCAAAATGGCATCAAATGGTGTCAACATTAGAGAGGAATTCCACAAAATTGACAAAAATAGTGATGGATTCCTGTCAGCTCAAGAAATCGACGGATAAACTGTTGCTTTAAATAAGTCTTAAATATCTATTATTTTTATTTATTTATTTATTTATTCTTAACTATTAGTGGAATCTTATTGAAATTATTTTAATTGATTAATAATTATTTGTATTCCAAGATATAAATAAAAATCTGTTTAAAAAACAAATATATCTAATTGTAGGAAATTACATAAAATATCTATTAGTTTAATAATACATAAACGTATATTAATATTAACAACTATCAACAATTAATACAAAATGAATAATAGACCCTGAAACATTAGAATTGATCAAATTGATTTCTGAGCCTAAAATTGGGATCAAAGACAATACGCCTAATAATAGCCCCGAAATCGGCGTTTTGTTGCAATTGTGCCGAATGTACAGCATTTGCATGGGTGTCGATGCGAGGGCTCACGTACTTCATCAGGAATTTGTCGTACTTTGCAATGGATTTTTGTTCAGGGTAAAGTTGGTCCACGTCTGTCAGTAGTTCTGTCGTACAAATAAGGTACCACTTAATTCAATTAGTTTTGCATATATTTTATATGAGTTTATAATACTGTCAAATATCTGTCCGTCCGATAATCCCTTTCCATCTTCTTTGTCCTCTTTAGTCATTACACGTATGAGTAAAAGACAATTGAAAATAAGGAAAATAAAAGTAACTCGTATTGAATAATCCAGTTTCATGTTTATACAGTATGTTTACAAATGCTCATTACTATTACTACTATTTATCAAAAACTTACTAAAACCCTTATGGCATTCATATTCATTAATCAATTAAACAAGAAAACATAATTAATTCATTAACACCTGTGATACTGTATATAATCTAACTTATAATAATTTATAATCTAAAATAAGTCCTAAAAATATTATATTAGGAAACAGGTCAGTTTGATAACAAGTCTTAACTTGCAAAACATGTAATTATATAATATTAAAACTATTAATTTGACTATAAAATCATTATTTCACCTAAACTTATAACTTATAAAATAATTTTATTAAAACAATAAATAAGTTGTTTATGACATAAGTTTTCATTTGAATCAATCCAATGGATTCATGTGATTAAATGAACTGAAGTTTGATCGGTTGCTGTCATTAATGTGGTCTAAAGGCCACCAAATTGTCCAAACTTTCGCTTCCTTTGCGAACGCCTTTTGCTCTCTATTTAATGAATCAAAATATTTTCAATCAATAAATTACAAAATTCTCAAAAATGCAAACCATGTCCGCGTGATCCGTATCCATCCCCATCCCTCTCCATTTCAGTCAATCTATAGCTTAAATGCTTTTTCACTTCTTTCATCCGATGATTGACCGGTGCCTTAATCTTGGGGCCGGACTCCTGTGCCCCCTCCACGAACTCACGCATACATCTATGCTCGCAGTCCTGCAGCGACTGAAATCGGTTGCCATTACCTCCCTGTCCTCTATACACGAATTCCCTGCACTGAGATATAACGACACAGAAATACCATTCGTGCAACAGTTTAGGACCGACCCCACTGTCCGGGTGTTCGGCGCACACCGGGTCCGGCTCTAAGTCAAAGTCGGTATCATCACTACGACCTGAATATTATCACAAATATATTTAGTTTCTGTTTATCTAAGGTTAAGGCAAACTATTACTTACCATATCTGCCGTATATTTGATCACTTGAAAAGCTAATGTAAAATAAAATTAAAATAAACCTTAAAAAGATTTTAGGATTTAGTCTATTTGCCGACATTTAGTAGGCTTTTGTTTACTTGATTAATTTAAATTATAATGTTTTGAAATGTAGTACCCATTTTGATGTTTGGGTACATGTTTGTTTCAACGACAATCACCCAGATGTTTTAATTGATAAATTCTAATGCTCTCTACCGGACAATCATTATTTAAATAATTTTCTTATCAATAAGTTTAAACTTTGTAAAATTGCTAGATTGAAATTTTAGTAATTATTTACTTAATATTTTATATTATAATTTATTTAAACAACATTTTAATAATAACAAACAAGTAATTAATTGATTGAATGATCTTTGTTAAATATTTTAATATTAAGATTATAAGAATATTTTGTGATATATTTTTAAAAATAACTATAATATATATAATTTGAATAACATTAATTTGAGCTTCACATTAAATCACAAATTTGTAATAAAAAATTATCATGATATAAACAACTCATTTGGACAAAACAATTTATTCAATCAATTAAATGCTCTAAAATTAATTTTTAATTTATATAAATTTATTAATAACAGTAAACATATAATAACAACATTGGTTTCGTCTAAACATTTTGCATTAAAAATTCAAACAACAAATAAATAAATGAATTTTCAAATATTTAGTATTATGATAATAATCTTATAAATAGTTTTGTTAACTAATAAATTCAAAAATCGGTGCCAAAGTCATCATGGTTAGAATAAGTGACAGTCTTTGGCTTAATCCTGGTCTCAATGACTGTATTATCGTCTGTAATAAACTGGTTGTCGATGTCCTCGCCGGTCACTAACTGCAACAATCGGAAGGAACGGGAGGGTATGTTTGCGCCCATGTATTTGGATGGCGTGGGATCGGGTGGCCGTTCAGAAGGGGGTAGTTTTTTCTTGAGGATAGGTTTGGGCGGTTCAGGAGATTTAATACCAGTGCGTTCGGGGGATGTTATTATACGGTCTGAGAATTTGATGTTTCGGTCGGCAGGTCTGGGAACGGGAGTACTGGTGTTACTGCGGTCCCACTCATCGGGTCCAGTGGTTTGGGCGTACATCCCAATGCTGTCTATGTATTTGGTTTGAGGTCCACAATCCATGCCTAACAAGAAGTTAATTAAAATTTCTATTAAAATATTATTAATTAAATCCTTTGAGCTTTTAAATTGATTTAGACATATGTTTAGACTGTTTTAAGCTATTCTACGAGTTTTATGATTGAATGGTATACCACTTGTTCTCATTTCATTTTGATAACTGATTTTTTGTGGCCAACAATTTTTGCCAAATGTCGAGAATTGGTTGTCTCGAGGGGGCCGTTGTATCGGCTGTTGAATAAACTGTGGCGGAGGTGTGGCGGTCGGTGTCGGGGGTTCGGAGCATAAGTAGAAGGGTTTGGGTCTGGAGTTATAGTTGGGAACTGATGGCAGAAAGTTTGAGATGATATACAGAGAATTGAATAGAAAAATAGTGTATTTAAAAAAAAGTAAATTAAGATTCAAACGGATTGAGTGCAAAGTAAAACAAAGAAAATTTGTTGGAAAAGGGTTTTCATATTTATAATGAATGATAACATAAAAGTAATTAACAATAAATGGCTTTTTAGATAATTTTACAGTTGGTTTCCTGAGTTAGTAATTAGGAACTGACGGATAAAATAAAATTAATTTATAAACTAAATATAATTCTCTACAAAAAAATTAAAATAATATAAATACATTTTAGATAAATATAATAAAAACCATTTATATATTTTGTCAAATGATTATAAAAATACAATTATTTATACTTTAATGGCTTAGTTTCGTAATTATATTGCTATTACTGTAGTCATATTCAATTGATTATTATTGATGTCTAGTTTAGCATTGAATTAATTGTGAGTTGGCTTACCATCTGATATACCAGTCCTATACTGATTGGATGGAATGTCGCTCCTATACATGGGCTCTACGGACGCCGATCTCTGTCCGACCCTTGAATACGGAGACGAACTCTCAGACCAGGGCTTAGTGTTGGCGACGGCTTGTGAGCTCTGGTAGGGCTGCGGACTCCTTAAGCCATTCCTATTGAAACCTCTATTAAGCGATCCGTACGGCGAAGATGTTTGGTTTTGTGTGCCATAAGAGTCATCAAATTGATTGGAAGGCCTCCAAACGGGCGCCGGATTTGGCAGACTTTTGCCAAATGTCTCAAACGATGAGATTTCCGTTTCATAATAGCTATCGTTTTGCGGCTGATATGGGTTTGGCTTTGGGCTCGTGAATGACTTTTGCGTTTCCAGTGATATTTGTTCAAACTTTTCAATTTCCTCTATATTTTTGACAAAAAAGTAACAAAAATTTGTTAGAAAGTTGTGTGCGAGTGAGGAATGTCATGCAAATACCCTGTAGGCCGCCGTCGAGTACGTGTCTCAGTAGATCTGAATCCCAGGGATTGGAAGTATTTATAGTATTATTATGATTGTTGTCATCATTATTATAGGGATTATTATTATCCCATTTACTATCATATCTATAATCTCTATGACTATGACTACTGTATTTTATACCATTGTTTCCGTTTTGTCTTTCATTTGAATGATTTATATTGGTTTCCATTGCTTGAGGGATGGGTTGGGGTTGCGATTGGGGTTTGTATTGGTATTGAGTTTGCGGTTTAGGTGGTGGAGGAGGAGGAGGTGGGGGTTGTGGTTGTGGTTGGGGTTGGGTGACCGGTTTTGTACTCTCAGGTTTGGGATAATTATCGCCTCCATTCGTTGTAATCAATTCCCGTTCAAAAGACTTTGGTTCCACTTTATTAGGCATTGGCACAGATTGTCGGTTTGCATAACTGTCCAAAAGCTCCTGTACCTCAGGCTCTAATCCGTTCACATCGATCGCACCGTTATTCTCCTTTTTCTTCAATGACTCCTCCATTTGTTTCATCTGTTTTTGTATAAACGATTCAAAATCCTTATTGATTTGTCGCTGAATATCGGGGAAAGTGTTGCCATTGAGGGGTGGATTGGGAGAGGAATACATCTGTTGTTTTTGAGGCACTTCTGGAGTGATGGCACGTCTGGCGTTCATTTGAGGCTTTTGTTTGGACAACACTTCGGGTGTTTCCGATCGCGTGACCCTTTCGGTGTCCGACATTAGGTCCGAGTCTTCCTCATCGTCGGCCAAATTCCTGAGCAAACGCTTCTTCATTTTGGGCGATCGGATGTTTGTCAGGTCTAACTTTCCCTTTTCGTTACTGTGCCACAGATATGTCAATATTGTCATAAAATTATAAATAATTGCGGTGTAAGTACCCGGACACTCCTTTGGGTGTATAAGTGAATGGTTTTTTGTCTTTGTTGAGCGTATTGAGCAGTTTGTCCGGGAGGTAAGCGTACTGTTCCTTCTCTATCTGCTCCTTAGACGGGGCCAAATGGGCCGGCAATGGCTCACTTCGCCAGTGAGGCAGTAGTACACCACCAGCACATCCGGGAGGGGGAGGCGGGACAGGTGGGGCGGCCACTGTGGTGAAAATATAAATACAATTTTTTAAATTTTAATATAATTGTATTTTAGTTTTATTTATATTTAGTTTATAATTAAAAATAAGTTCTCAACACTAACTTTTGTTTACAACAAATATAATGTTATAGTCAGCAATAAAATTGTAAATATTCTGAACAAATTCTGTAAAATGCAAGTTATTCTGTGCACAAGAATCTGTGCGATCATTATATGTGTCATCATTTGGATTATGAGCTGTCAGTTGACTATAAATAACTTTTGTTCCTTATATACTTTGGCCCTAAACTGTAAACTTGTACCACATTTTGCTGTCATTTATTAGTGTCTCAGGAATTTTGGAAATTTTATATACTTTTAAGTAATTAAATACTTTTTAAAAATAATATAAAAATCATCAAAATATCATTCACCTAAATCGCTAATATGTATAAATAAAGGAAATGTGTTTGTTTTATAAACGAATTCTTAATAAAATTTTATTTATTTTTTTATAATAAATGTTGAGTAAACAAGTAAATTTTAGGTCGGAATTTTAGGTTATATTTAATTAGGTATAAATTGGTTGGATTTGTAAAAATTTATTTAGTTTTAGCTAAATTTAACTATATCTTGATTTTAATATATACAAAATAATTAATGTAAACATAATACTATTAAAATATTAATTAATAAAATATCCTGATTATTAAATTACGATTCATTATAATTAGTTAATTTAAAAACCTTTCTCTTAATATCTGACAGTTGATAGCAGCTGTCATATAATATACTAATCATCTTGAGATTAAATTAGAGATTATCCATACATTAATCACTTAATTACTTTATAATCAGAATTTACATTACTTGTAATCACTATGAGCTTATATTTTTAGGTTTAATAATTTTTAATTAAGTATACTATTGTAAAATGAAATGTAAAAAATGAATATCGAATTACCTGGCTGTGGATTCGGGTGGGCTGGTAGGTGCTGGGTGTCCATCTCATTCACAAACAGGCGATCCGTGACTTTCTTGACAAAACACCAGCAAAAGTAAGTCAAAGCGAAGACAAAAAACGCAAATTTTATTAAGAAAATAATTTTGACTGAGTTTCAAGTGGTGTATAAATAGAGTGAAAATTATTCAAAAATAAACTAAACATAAACTAAACATTAAATTTAGGTGAAAATTGTGATTTCGTCACAATACTAATATTTATGATTGAAGTCTTTTAAACAAATTTCTCGTTTGAAAACATTTTTCTTTCTATAACTCTAATGTCGTGCCCCCACGAAAACGGGAGCTCACAGTTAGAGGGGAAAGGGATGAGAGTTAGAGTGTATATTAGAGCATCAGAAAGAGGGAGAGAAAGAGAGATAACATAGATTTATGTCTCAAAAGATGTAATCTCTCACACTTTCGGCCAACTCTTTCACAGACACTCTCTATCCTAATGTTTCTAATGTTTACAAAAGAGATTATATAAATGAATATAAAAGCAGTTTCTCTACACTAAAAAATTCTCAATCCCTAGGGTTTGGTAGCACTGAGTTGTGCGAAATGAGTGAAAATTGAAAGTTTCCAGTGTTTACAGTAAATCCTTGAATGTGTTCCTAATTTGGATGATCAGCCTCTTTGGCACTAAACCAGAGATAATATTTATAGCACTTCCAGTGCCAGTCCTACGACTATTACTCTTAGGCAACAAAACCATCCCTTAATTCAATGATTTTTTCTCGCGCATTATATTCGCAAACATTTGCATATCTGTGCTCTTATTATATTTCCAACTTTCCAAATATAAAATTTTATTTTCATAATGAGATTTAGACTTTTTTGAATTCAACTCAAAGGGTTTGAGAAATGTAATGTTAATTTTTAATCATTCAATCTATAAGTTTGATATAAGTTTTATGGAGAGCGTAGAGAATTAGAGACAATTGAATAGTGATATGATCTGAACAATTGAGGTCAATGTAAGCGAATCCTAACCTGGTTTTGAAATGTAACTTATTTTTGAGACAAAACTTTTGTCAAATATCAGTCGACAGTTTGTTCGTTACTTTTATAAATAACTATAAATCAATTGAATTAGAGGTCAAACTTGATAATTATAGGATTTTTGTTATTACTAGTATATTGTATGGAAATTAATTATATTAATGATGAAGATTACCATAAATTGTATACATGGCAAATATCAAATAAATTACAAATACAAAAACTTTTCACTTCATTAGCACCCACTCATTATTACGTTAAACCTAAATACAATGTATTTATTTTTGTTACTGTCTTAAAATGAAAAATAATTAAATTCATTGCAAGTTTCAAATAAATTCCAAAACACTTGAATATTTATATTTGACATTAATTTTAAACAAATTCATTATTAGAAATTTTATTTAATTCAATGTAATAAATTTTATAATCATTTAAAATATTTTATTTAAACACTTACTTGACTTTCAGATTCACTTTTACTTTCATTATTATTATTATTGTTATTACTATTAGTAGTATTATTTGAAGTATTACTATCACTACTAGTAAAAACACTTTTCACAAAATTAAACACAGATTTCATAATTTAATTTTGTTATTATTTACACAAAACTTGAATAAATAAACTATTTACATAAGAATTTGATATGTTTTGTATATTTAAAATAAAATTCTGATTCACAGAATTGTTTAAATGGTAGAAATAAATTTGTTTTTAGGGTCCAAAAAGTTTTTTCAATGTTATTTAGTGGGGAAGTGATGCGCAAATCCTTTACTGAAGTATAATAATTGTTTTAAAGCCAAAACTTTTAGTTAAGATTACATTTTGCTATAATATCCGAGAATTTATTTTGTTTTTTATTCATAAGTATTTTTAAACGCAAATCATGTAAATAATAATATTTTTAGTGAAGAATTTTATTTTT